CACCGCCCAGGGTGCGCGCCTCGGCGGGCAGGTGCCCCCCCCACCGCCCAGGGTGCGCGCCTCGGCGGGCAGGTGCCCCCCCACAGGGTGTGTGCCGCGTGGGCAGGTACAGGAACATGGGAACATGCAGTCAGAGCTGCTGTGAGCAGGGCAGCATTGCTCAGCTGCTCGGGGTTTGGCAATCCTGCCCTTCTGTTTGTCATGGTAACAAACACTAAACACTGCCAAGGAGGAAGGGGGTGCAGGGGGAGCCCCCAGGAAGTGGAGGCTGCCAGTTTCATCTTACACATGTGACCCCAGTTTGCCCACCACCACCCAGCCTGGAGAGCTCTCTGCAGCCCTGGCTCTGACCACAGAGGAACCGCCGTGAGGCCACAGGCAGGGAAACCCGGCCGGGGGGCGGGAGGGGGGCGGGGGGGATGGTGCTGGAGACAAGCCCCATCTCCATACCATACCAACTGCCAGCCTAGAATGGGACGTGAAGGATAGGAGGCTGAACTCCTGTCTAGGCCCTTTAAAGGATCTGGGCCAACAACTGATGAGACGTAGCATTTTCTCATTGGCCACTAAAAACAGCCAGCCTGTGAGAGACACTGGTTGGTCTGGCTATGGCCTCGTCAGGTCAGAGCAAGCATCACCACCCAGTGTGGTGTTAGGAGGATCTAAAGAGGATAACTGGCTGATTTTACACATCAGTCTCCTAAGCACAACCTGCAGACACCCCTAGGTGTGGGCACGCACACAGAACCTCAGCAACTTTGCAGCCTAGGGGCACAAGCTTGGGCTAGACTCTAACCAGAGCCAACACAGCTCCCAAAAACAGGGGCTGCCCCAGCCAGGGGCCGCCAGAGACCATGCTGTGGCTTGAGGTAACTCTCAGGCTCCCGAACTGCTCTGGAGCACACAGAAGGGTGGTCCTCAAACACCCAGCAGGTGGCTTGCTAGGCTCTGTGACAAGGGCCCACCCCTGCCCGCCCTGTGATTTCACAGTTAAGTGCCAGGGGGATCAGGTCAATTGAGTGCCGCCTGGGTGATCCGGTGGCTGCTGGCTTCTTTCCTCCTTGTGCCTAGCTTCTGAGTGTTCGCTGTTCAGAACACTCCCCAGGGACAGCCAAGGGAGGGCTCATCTGGAGAGGTCAGGGGTGGGGTTGCCCTGACCCCACAGCCCAGAAGCTCCTCTTGAATCCCCTCTGAACCCAATGGCCCCTTGAGGGTCAGCCCCTTCGCCCTCGTAAGGAGAAGGGGGTCTCCAGACAAGCTCTGCTGTCCTCTAGTCCAGTGATTTCCAAATGTCAGAGGGATGAAGAGGCCCTAAAGGGGTCTTTGAAAAATGGGCAGTCCTGGGCCCTAGCCCAGAAATTCCGTGTGTTTGGGGTGAAACCCAGGAATCCCTGATTTTAAGAAAATCTCCCCAGGTAATTCTGATGTGTGTTAGGTTTGGGAACCAGCCATCTGCTCTCCTTCCTGCCCAGACGCCAGAGTCATCAGAACTAGAGTCCCCCAGAATCCTCCTCATTCCTGCCCTGGACAGGTTCATCAGTCAAGGGAACCCCGAGAGTACATGCTGACCTGACCCTGGGAGAGAGTAGATGAGGCTGCTCTGGATCACAGTTCAGAAAGGGACTCCCCCCCACCCCGACCCCATTTTAGAAGTAGACCTTCACAGCAACACAACAGTACCTTGAACCGCGCAAGGTACAGGCTGGGCCCCATCGGCTTCCCGTGCCCATTACCAGGCGAATTTTCCTGCGAGGTGGCGTCTCTCAGCTCTACCCCGGCCGCAGCATCCCACAGGAATCCAGAGAACCCGGCCCCCTGCAGGAGAGGAGGAGGCATCAGTTTGGAGACCAGTCTGTTTTGTGGCAGGGCTCAGCCCCAAGCTGGTGGGAAGAGGCAGGAGAAGCCAGGAAGAGACAAGGGGGACTCTGCACTGGGTCCTGAGATCACATGCACAGGGCCTGTTTCTGAAACACAAGCATACCCCAAAAGCCACCGTGTGTTCCTCCTTGCCTCCCGCCCCAAATTTCCCATGTTGCCGATTTCAGGGTTTTAGGCGCAGCTAGGGTGCTTGGGCTCTTATCTTCTGGGGAGTGAAGTGAGGGGAAGCCCCGACTAAGCACAGAGTTATCTTTTTAATCATCACATCCCATGAGATAGACACTCACAGCCATGTCCACCAGGCAGGGACTCAGCTGCTCAGAGAGGTTAAGTAACTTCCCTCGAATCCCACAGCTGGTAAACAGCGATGTTGAGAATCAAACAGAAGACTGCAAAGGGCTGGCTTTGCTTACTGGTTAGTTGTAGCTTACAACCACCAGTATCTAGTGCCTAGTGAATCCTCCATATATATTTGCTGGATGGATGGAGGTCAGTGCTGACAGTCCCCACTGTTTAGAGCCAGTCAAGGGCACTCTGCAGGTGGACAGGGCCCACAGAGGGGCCTCCAGCCCGGGGACAGGGGCCTATGAGGGCCAGTGGGTGGTGGCAGAAGTGTCCTGAGGTCTGGTGCTAACCTCTGCCAGCTCTGGCTGCAGATGGGCCACTCTGAATCTGCCTGCTTCTCGCTGCTGTCCCTTCTGGAAAGAGGAAAAGCTTCCTCTCCCCACTCTATCCCAGCATCTGGAGGCTCCGCTGCCGGGGATCAGCAGTAGGATCTGTAGGCATCGCTGGAGGGGCCAGCAACACATATTGCTAAAGGAGAGGAAGGGACTCTGCGCAACCTAAGTGGCCTGTGCTGAGTCCCAGCATCCGCACAGGTCCCAGCCCCACGCCTTGCTGGGCTCAGCACCTCCACTAGACCAACTCGTGGTGAGGAGGAGGGAAGGAATGAACAGGGAACCGTGTTCTGCATGCTGTGCACTTTGAGATTTATAATCACAGGCCTGCCCACCCCTGGAGAGAGCCCCAATTTAAGACCTGGAAGACCTGGATCTCAGGGCCACCTGTGTCACTCTGCCGTGGGATCACAGAGCCCTCCATTTTTCTAAATGTGTTTCCTCGGGAATCAAGTGACGGAAGTGGGATTTGCCCTTTCCACTTTGGAGGGTCATCTTCCCATTTATTGTTTCTCAAGCAGAGGTGCCAGAGTAACCTTCCTGGTGTACCGTGCAGGTGGTCAGCTCTGCTTAAAAACCTTCCGTGGCTCCCCAGTGCGCACTAGCCACTGCCCAAGGGGCCCCCTAGGTAGGCACCTGCCTGTTCAGGCTGCCCTTCGCACCTGCTCACCGGTGTGCCCAGCAGCACCGGGCGCATCTGGGAGCCTCTCCCGATCCCCCGGACCCAGGCGGCCCCTGGCTCTGGAAGAACTGTCCCACCTCCACGCGGGGCAGCCGGAGATCCGGGTGTTAGTGCCAGAGCGCCACCTGGGCTCGGGCCTGACCCCACCGTGGGGCCGCTAGAGGACGGGCAAGTCGTTTTGTCATACAGAGCTCGGTTTTCTCATCTACAGACGCCCCTCTGGCTGTGGGGCGAGGACTGGAGACCTGAGCAGAGGCTGCCACTTGCCCACAGTTGTCCAGGGAAGAGATGGGACGTGTGTGACTCACAGACACAATTTGCTAAACAGCATTTAAAAGCACTTTAGCTTATGTGTCCATATTTAAAAGTCAGGAAATTTCACATTAAAATCTAGGTATTTACATCTTTTGAGAGCCCGGGAGATTTGTCCACACGAGGCCCACCAGCCTCCATGGCAACAAGGGTGTGATGAGCCAACTGCAGCCTGAGACAGGTATATGGACTTCCAGTCGGCACAGCCTGGCCAGCCTGCCGCCTCATGCGGGCCCTGGTCTGTGTTCGGTTAATGGGGCAGGTCAGTGCACGTGATCTTTGTAAATCCTACAGCAACCCAGTGATTGACTGAAGGAAGGGGAGAGTGCTCCCATTTTAGAGATGAAGGAACTGAGGCTGAAAAGTTGAAGTGGCTTGAACTTGGGTCTCCCTGCAACTGCACACTATCTTCCAACGGCCTTGCCACCCCAACCTGGAGTAGGAGTTCCTGCCTCGTGCCTCCAACAGGCTGTGAGCTCCCGAGGGAGGGGCTCCATCAACTCGGGATAGATTCTTGCCCTGGGCTTGCAAGGACTAAGAACAAGGCAGGGCTGGGTTCCTGGGTCTGTTTTTCTCACAGATGTGTATCTGCATGTGGCACAGGGTCTGGCACGTGGTAACCTTTCTGATGATTTCTCAGTGGATAAACAGTGTTAAATAGACTACGAGAGCCTAGTGAACCTACGTATGTATAAAGTGCTTTTTTTTTTTTAAAGAAGGCGAGGTGGTATTATTTCTGTATGGACTGAGAAGGGACAGCCATGGGCTACAGAGGTGAAGACTAGGTATGTCCCAATCTGGCTAAATTTCCAGCCTGTGGGGAAATGGACATTGGCTGTCACCTATAGTAACCGTTTACACTCCAGAACATAAAACCCAGAGAAATCAGATTTACATCACATTTTTAAGCAGTAGCTTTAAAAAGAGAGCTTATTGTCCATAAATGACTGGATACTTTTAATCCAGTATATATTTATAATTTAAAAGCCTCACATCTCACTATCACTCACATAAACACTATTCCCGTTTATAAACGTGTTAGGTACACTAGAGAAAAAAATACAGCATGTGCATTTATAGAAAAACCATGTAATGACAGTTGGACTCATGATGAACTATTGGAAGTCTATTTTAAAATCTAAAACCCCACTAATATCCAGCATTCCAAGTGAATAAAAATCAGTCGTGAATAGATCTGTAAGAGTGAAACGTACCCCTTCAGCAATTTGCCCACAGCCACAGGGTATATACCAACGAAAGAACATTCAAAACGAAAATCTGTTCAAAATGTCCACAGAACATTTCCATGCGCACAATCTCTACCACTGAAAGCCAATGCTTCGTGTATGAATTAAGCAAATCTGAAGTTTTCAGTCAATGAACAATGGGCTCTCCACAAACTTGGCAGAGGATGGAACTGTGGAGACGGGATTAAGAAGACAAAGGACAGAAATACCCCATTTGCAGCCTTGGCTCCAGACAGGATTTCTCCTCTCCTCCCAACACCCTAAACTCCCATTTCCGTCTGGGCAGCGGTCCATTCCCGAGCTAAACGTGAAACAGGAACCAGGGCATTTTGAAATGAATGGCAAGGAGCTAAGAAATGTGCAGAAACACAGAATTGCATCAAGGATGTTGGCAAAGTAAATTTGTAAATGCCTGTGATTAGGGAAAAAGGAGGTTGCAATAAGATGCAGATAAAATCCAGGTTTTGCACATGGAGGGTACCTTCTGGAGCTGAGTGGAGGGCATCTCAGCAACAACGGCCTTCCAGCATCCCCGGGGCCCCTTCCACTTGCGGATGTTGGGCAGGATAGGCTGGTTTAGCTCCGTACAGAACTGCAAAGACAGAGCACAAGTCGCTGTGTGTTCCTGCCTAAAGCACCTGCGGCCAGTGGCAGCCGGAGGGGCCAAGAAGTGCCTGAACCGGACTCATCGGCCATTTTCAGAGACTTGTCGGACTTTCTCTGTGTTCTTAGGGTTTGTGAAGACCCAGAGAACTCAAAAGTCCCACAAATTAAAAAGCAAACTATCCATAAAACACACAATTACCACCCCGGGGTGGGGGGGCTCTCAGTTAATAGAAATCAATTCTTTTTGTAGCACTCTAGTACAAATAGCTCAAAATGAGTTGTCGGAATCCTTCTTATCCTTGTAAAACCAGTGGTTTCAAGGTCCTGGGGAGCGGGGGGAGGGGGTGGTCCAGATGGGTATCAAATGGGGAGGAAGGAAGAGGAATTCATGGTATCTTTTCTCCCTGGAGCCTAGCTTAAAGGTGGCAACATGGACCCCCAGCTTCACCCTCAACTACCGCACTGTTCACTTTGATGCTCTTCGGAGAAGGAAGCCGTCCGGCCATGGATGGTTACTGCGCCCCACGTGTGTGGGCAGGGCCTGCTTCGTTTTGCTTATGCGTGTTCCATGAAGCCACTGGGTCACCAAGGCAAAAGAAAACTGTTCAGGCCAAGGCAATGAAGAGTTAAAAAACCATGTGCTTCAAAATATGTGGCTCAGTTCCTCCAACTCACTCCTCAAACACCACCCAGACTCTGGAGGATGGTCCCCAGAATGGGTCATGCTTTGGTTGAGTTTTTGAGATGCTCCCACATTTGGTTCTGCCCCTTCCTGGTGACACCGTCTGTCTGTCCCTTTGCTTCCTGCACCTGGGAGCCATGCCACTCCCCTCCCTCTCTGCCCGGCCCTCCAGGTGTTCTGGCTTCCTCTGGGCACCTCACCACTCTCTCTTCAGTGAGCTGCCCTTAACTAGTCTTACTTAGCTCCTCAGCTTCAGCTTACACCTCTGTCCCACAGGCCCCCGAATCTGTGCCTACAGCTCAGATTTCTCTCCTGAGGTTTGAACAGGATTCTGAGAACCCTCTTCACATTTCCACCTGACGGTCTCCACGAACCACAAACCCAGCAGGTCCATTCCCCTCCCCCACCCCCATTCCTATCTCAGGTCCTAGCATTTCCATCCTTTGCATCGTGTTTCAGAGCCCCATCTTCTCTCGCCTGGGTCACCGGCAGAGCTGTGACGTTCTCCTGCCACTCGGTCATTCAATCCCCGTCCATCTGTCCCTGGGTAAGTCGTGATGGCCATGCTCACGCGCTACCCCTGTGGTTCCCCGTGACACTCGGGGCCCACGAGTGTCAGCCTTACCTGGGAACTTGCTAGAAATCCTCTGGCCCCATCCTAGACCTACAGGATCAGAACCACGAGTGAGGCCCAGCAATCTTTTTTTTTTTTTTTTAAAGATTTTATGGAGAAACAGCATGAGAGGGGAGAGGGTCGGAGGGAGAAGCAGACTCCCCGCTGAGCCGGGAGCCCGATGTGGGACTCGATCCCAGGACTCCGGGACCATGACCTGAGCCGAAGGCAGTCACTTAACCAACTGAGCCACCCAGGCACCCCCCAGCAATCTGTTTTTAACAAGCCCTCCAGGTGATTCTGATGCCCACCAAGGTGGGGGAGCCTCTGTGGCTGCGCAGACCCTCAGAAGCATCTGCTGCCCATGCCTGAGGCACGAGGAGGGAAGGGGAAGGGGGCAAGCAGCTGTCAGCCATCAGCCCCCCGCAGGGACAGCCCTGCGGCACAGAGCTGCTCCTGGGAGTGCCCTCACACAGCTTATGCCATAAGAGGGAAGAGGAGGGATCCCTCCCTGGGCAAGGGAGGGTGGATGACAGGAGGTCTACTTTAGATACGTGCTGTTCTGGGGGTTCTGCTTTGACAGGTACATAATTAAGTGTCTGCCTTTTCCTGACCGCAGACAACATAAGAGCAGGGACTGTTCCCAAGTCCCCTTTATAAAGCTCACCTGGCACAGAGCATAGCGCCTAGGGACCCTCTCTGAGCATCTGCTGGTGAACCAGGGAACTCCACGGAGGCCGGCACTCCTCAAATCCGTGTGTATGACAACCACTTATTGCAGCTCCTTATCTAAATAATTGCCTCAATTTGAACCTGACTTTGAGTTTGCCTGAGAAGTGTTCTCTTTGGGATTTTGTCATCGGGGCTTTGATTGGGGCTGAGTGGCTGTGGACAGTGCTGTTCCTAATGGGGCCTTCACCCCAGATGGGTCCCCTTGGCCAGATGGTCCTGGCTGGAAGCCATACTTGGATGGGAAATGAAGCACTTTGGAAAATGCAGCCAGAATGTATTGACGATAACTTTAGGGATCCAGCGAGGAAATGTACTCCACAAAGGGTCCAATTTCCTGCTGGGGAATCATTTGCTTGCTGAGTGATCATTAGAGCTGAGTCTGGGAATCATTAAAAAGGAGAGCAGCTCCTAATGCCCATCCGGTGCTTCGCTCTTCTCCACACAGGGAGTCCTGCACCTGGATGCTCCCCCGAATCTCCCAGGAAGCACACTGCGGGGAGGGGCTCTATTAGCCCCAGTCCTTGGGGGACCCCACCGTGCTGGGAAGAGCTACATGTAGGCGCCACAAATCTCATCTTTCCTAACCCTCACAGGGCCTTCAGATACCTGAAGACAGGTGGAGCTCCCGTTCACACTGCGAACACCAGCCCAGCTTAAACATTTCGCACTCCTGGCAATGCCCCTTTGATGGGAAGCGTTAGAAAGGGAAGACGTGGTTGACACTGTGCTCCATGCTTACCACTCTCCGAGATGACGGCCTTGGGGGCCTCAAGTCTGCTACTCAACGTATGATCATCTGGATCAGCTAGGAATGCATTAAACACGCAAATTCTCGGCCCCACCCCAACCGACTGAATTAGAAACTCTGGGCTGGGGCCAGGTAATCTGCATTGTAACAGCCTCTCCAGATGACTCTCACACAGTTTAAAGCTGGTGTTATTGGATGGAGGAAAGACCTTCTCCTTCTCCTTTCGTTTTCTACCTAAAAGCCTTTCTTTTACAGGTAAACTCTTAAAGAGATTTAAGGAACCGTAATTCCTGAACCTTAAGGGCCACCTATACTTTGTACATCTGAAGCCTTGCTCTTGATAACCTCTCTCAGCCCACAGAGTTAGATGATCCCCCTCTATGCCCTCTCTTTCAGTAGTTATTATGTTATTGGACACAAGTAATAGTTGAAGGGACCAGGAAAAAATTGTTCATGGCTAGAAGCATTCTCTGCCCATCTGCATGATCGGCAGTAGGTAAGGGGTAGGACTGTCTTCCATTCCTAGGGCTAAAAAAAGAATTGCCAGTTTGTTAACTTTAGTTGACGGCACTACCAGTTCATAGTAAACCCGAGGAGCACCTCTGAGATTCTTGTACTCAGAGGAAAAAAAAGAGAGAAATTAAAAAAAAGATTCTTGCTACTTAGAGCATGGTCCATGGACAGGCAGCGTTGACCTCAGCTGGGAGTCTGTTAGAAATGCAAAGTCTCAGGCTCACCTCAGACCCCCTGCACTGAAATAGGCATTTTCACAAGATCCCACAGTGATTTACAAGTTTGGCAAGTGTGAGAAGCCTGCTCAGAGCCTTCCTATTTTGTATACCTCATCCCTATTAGCCCCCCCAACCAGCCCCCACGAGCCAGACAGCCTACCAGTTAACTCCTGAGTGAAGGGCAGCATAGAAACGTTAGTTTATGTGAGTTTAGATTCAAGATTACACAGTGGGTGAGTATGAGGGGACGGTCTGAACCGAGGTCTACCTCCTGCTACTCTACCTCCCGGCTGGACAGGTGAACTAGCCGGAGCACGGCAGGTGCCCAGCGGAGGCCAGCCGTCTTACTGAAGCCTTAACATCCTTTCTCCTAAAAATGTCCCAGGAAACAAAAGCATCCTCTGAGAGCCCTCAATCTGAACTCTGCCTAAAATTGTTTTATGTACAACAGTTGGTTCTCAAATCTTCTGCTTCGCCCACAGAGCAGAAGGCAGCAATAATATTCTCCTAAGTAAAAGAGGCTCAGCAGGCCAGAAAAGGGTGGAAATGGGAAGATGTGTATGATGGGGAAGAAGTCTCCGAGGTAACTGACCTGCACAACCCGAAACTACCCCTCACAAATGTGTTTCTAAAATCCCGGGGTCAGCCCATCCCCTGCCTCCATCAAAATCACGCTGGTTCTTGTTTTTAAAACCACAGATTTGTGAACCTCATCCTTTGCCAACTCGGAATCTCTGAGGTTAGGGCCAATCTGGGCACTACTCACGAGATCTCCCAAGCAATTTTAAAGTTTGAGAAGCTCAGACAAGGCTCGACAATCGCTGATTTTGAACTCGGCCTTCATATTCTTCATACCTGTGGTCTAGAAGGACGGTTTTGACTCTTCAAAACAAACGTACCATCTCGGCTGTCATCCCACACTGTGAAAGCATCTGACTGTGGCTCTTCTCAGATAATCCTGGGAGATAACATGAAGGGAGCCGGCCCGCAGCATGGTGCATGGGAGACATGCAGCGGGTACTGGCTGAATGAATGAATCAAAGGGATGGCTCCTGAGGATCCCGAGGATGGCTTCTCTCTCCCGGGATAGGTCACAAGAACGACCACAGGCTGGACTTGTTTCTCTAGCCTCAGACCAAACAGGGGTGATATCATTCTTTAGCACTGGCCCCACAACAAGCTGGTTGAGATGGCAGAACACTTGATCATCAACACCACATCCACCCTACTCTTTGGCTCGGCAAGAGGGGGCCTCAGAGTCAGACACGTTAACTCCAATCTACAAGGTGCCCAAGGTGCTGGCATTTAGCCATGTCAAGTCCTAAAGGAAAAGAGTCCTTTGGCTCTGTTTGAGACGTGCCTCATCTTGGGTCTGCCCTCGGTCAGCTCACTCTGCTTATCTCTGCAGTGACAGGAGGGTTCCAAGACTTGAGACCAACTGTGTTTTGTTTGTGGACCTTTGGACTTCTTTTTTCTTTCT